ATGTGTCTGGCTCTTCGGTGTGTCCGCCCCTCGCCCTGGACTCGGCTGTGGGGGTCTTGTGTCTGCTTCTCAAACAGTGGGAGCGGGTCCCAGAGGGGGTCCTGAGGCTGACAGAGTGGCTGCTGGGAAATGAGGAGGTGATCCAGGAAGAGGCCGAGTCAGGAGAAGAGACCAGTCTGGTACGAGTCTTTTATTATAGTTTGGTAAAGTGCAGTATTCAGACACAAAGCTTCATGTACAATCCACCTTAATATACATACTAAGAATATGAATATGAGATAAATATTAAATATGACAAATGTTGGGCAAGTTACTTCAAAACTGTAATGTGTTATTTATGACTTGTTACTGTCATTTCAAAGTAATTTGTTTCATTATAATATTACTGCATTTAAAATTTAAGGCATTACACGACTATTACAGCACATGTGAAGATGCTGAACTTTTGTGCCGTATATGGACTGAACCAGGACTAAACCTGGACTGAACCAGGACTAAACCTGGACTGAACCAGGACTAAACCTGGACTGAACCAGGACTAAACCTGGACTGAACCAGGACTAAACCTGGTTTAAACCAGGACTAAACCAGGTCTAAACCAGGACTAAACCTGGACTGAACCAGGACTAAACCTGGTTTAAACCAGGACTATACAGGACTAAACCAGGTCTAAACCAGGACTATACAGGACTAAACCAGAACTGAACCAGGTCTAAACCAAGTCTAAACCAGGACTAAACCAGGGCTAAACCAGGACTAAACCAGAACTGAACCAGGACTAAACAAGAGCTGAACCAGGACTAAACTAGGTCTAAACCAGGTCTAAACCAGGACTGAACCAGGACTAAACCAGAACTGACCCAGGACTAAACCCGGTCTAAACCAAGACTAAACCAGAACTGACCCAGGACTAAACCAGGTCTCAGCCAGGACTAAACCAGGACTAAACCAGAACTGAACCAGGACTAACCCAGGTCTAAACCAGGATTAAACCAGGTCTAAACCAGGATTAAACCAGGACTAAACCAGGTCTAAACCAGGACTGAACCAGGTCTAAACCAGGACTGAACCAAGTCTAAACCAGGACTGAACCAGGTCTTAACCAGGACTAAACCAGGACTAAACCAGAACTGACCCAGGACTAAACCAGTTCTCAACCAGGACTAAACCAGGACTAAACCAGGTCTAAACCAGGACTGAACCAGAACTAACCCAGGTCTAAACCAGGTCTAAACCAGGTCGAAAACAGGGCTGAACCAGGACTAAACCAGAAACCAGGACTAAACCAGGACTAAACCAGGACTAAACCAGGACTAAACCAGGACTAAACCAGAACTAAACCAGGTCTAAACCAGCACTAAACCAGGACTAAATCAGAAATGACCCAGGACTAAACCAGGTCTCAGCCAGGACTAAACCTGAACTGAACCAGGACTAAACCAGGTCTAAACCAGGACTAAACCAGGACTGAACCAGGACTAATCGTGGACTAGGATTTGGAATCTAGGACCGCCCCTGAGAGAACATGAGCACCTCTGGCCCGTCCCAACATTCGGAACCGTAACGTTGGCGTTTCTCCGCTGCTGATATCGCGGTGATTTTAGCAAATTTGTATGAAGAAAAACCAAAAACCCACCACTTCAATCCAGGTTAAAAATACATTGTGACGCACTTTACTGACATTTGTACCGAGTAAAATATAAAAAAATTTTTACAGCAAAAAGCAACGCATTACAGTCATTTGTTACTTTTACAACGCTGGATATGCCCCTGAAAATATACAAACAGTAATAAAATAAATGATACTTCTCATGGTTAAAGTGCATATTTTGAAGACAAACACACGATGATCTGCAGTCTGTCCAAGTAAATATGTATTCTCAAGTGACCCCTCTCAGGTCAGCGAAACAGTGGCCTCAGTGTGCAGCGTGTAAACATTGTGAGTGTAAATCCAGTGGTGTGGTGGTGCTTTGAAGTAGGTAATTTAGGGTTTAATATATCAACACTGAGGTTAAAGTTCAAATATCACACTCACGTACTGTTCGACAGCTGACAGTCAGGTTCAACCACGAGTACACAGACTGGTACTGTACTGTACTGTACATGCACAACTCTCACTGTTTCCAACAACTGAATGTACTATTTCTACACAATAACTTTACATTTAATTTATATTTTTATTGAGATTTATTTAAAATAGCTACTTGGGTGTTTGCAGTTATGTTTGGAGGAGAATTTAGATTTTGGGAGGAAGATTTTTGACTATTTTTGTGTTAAATTGTGTTCAAAGTCTTTGTTAGTGTTCAGGAAATATAAAAATAATCAGAGCAATTTTAAGCTTTTTTGTGACAAATTATAATTGTAAAAAAATACATGTCTGTCTCAATTTATTTTTTATTTTTTATTGAGATTCATTTGAAATAGTTACTTGGGTGTTTTTGGGAGGAAGGAATTTGACTATTCTTGTGGTAAATTGTGTTCAAAGTCTTTGTTAGTGTTCAGGAAATATAATAATAATAATAATAAGAGGAATTCTAAGCTTTTTATGTGACAAATTATAATTCTAAAAAAAACATCTCTGTCTCCATTGATTTTTTATTTATTTATTTTTTTTATTTTTTTATTTTTTTATTCATTTGACATAATTACTTGGATGTTTTTGGGAGGAAGGGATTTGACTATTTTTATGTCAAATTGTGTTCAAAGTCTTTGTTAGTGTTCAGGAAATATAAAAATAATCAGAGCAATTCTAAGCTTTTTTGTGACAAATTATAATTGTAAAAAAATACATCTCTGTCTCAATTTATTTTTTATTTTATTTTTTTTATTGAGATTCATTTGAAATAGTTACTTGGGTGTTTTTGGGAAGAAGGAATTTGACTATTTTTGTGGTAAATTGTGTTCAAAGTCTTTGTTAGTGTTCAGGAAATATAATGATAATCAGACAAATTTTAATTTTTAATAATACAAAAAATACACACCTCTCTCCGCATTTATTATTTATTTATTTTTAATTGAGATTCATTTGAAACAGTTACTTGGGTGTTTGCAGTTACGTTTTGAGGAAAATTTTATTGTGGCTGAAAGGAATTTGACTATTTTTGTGTCAAATTGTGTTCAAAGTCTTTGTTAGTGTTCAGGAAATATAATAATAATCAGAGCAATTCTAAGCTTTTTATGTGACAAATTATAATTCTAAAAAAAACATCTCTGTCTCCATTGATTTTTTATTTATTTATTTATTTATTTTTTAGATTAATTTGAAATAATTACTTGGATGTTTTTGGGTGGAAGGAATTTGACTATTTTTGTGGTAAATTGTGTTCAAAGTCTTTGTTAGTGTTCAGGAAATATAATAATGAATCAGAGCAATTTTAAGCTTTTTATGTGACAAATTATAATTCTAAAAAAAATACATCTCTCTTTCTCCATTTATCTTTTAATTTATTTATTTATTTTTAATTGAGATTCATTTGAAATAGTTATGTGGATCTTTGCAGTTATGTTTGGAGAACAATTTAGATTTTGAGAGGAAGGAATTTGACTATTTTTGTGTTAAATTGTGTTCAGAGTCTTTGTTAGTGTTCAGGAAATATAATAATAATCAGACCAATTACAAGCTTTTTTATCTGACAAATTATAATTCTAAAAAAAAATACATCTCTCTCTCTCCATTTATTTTTTTATTTATTTATTTTTAATTGAGATTCATTTGAAATAGTTACTTGGGTGTTCGCACTTATGTTTGGAGGAGAATTTATATTTTGGGAGGAAGGAATTTATTTTTGTGTTAAATTGTGTTCAAAGTGTTCAGGAAATATAATAATAATCAGACAAATTTTAAGCTTTTTATGTGACAAATTATAAAAATACACATCTCTCTCTCTCATTTATTATTTATTTTAATTTTTAAAAATTGAGATTCATTTGAAATAGTTACTTGGGTGTTTTTGGAAGAAGGAATTTGACTATTTTTGTGTTAAATTGTGTTCAAAGTCTTTGTCAGTATAATAAAATATAATAATAATCAGACAAGTTTTACTCTTTTTTATGTGATAAATTATAATTCTAAAAAAATACATCTCTCTCTCTCTTTCTTCGTAGGACGATGAAGACTTCTTGTTCGAAAAAGGCGAACTGAACTTGTGGGCGGAGCCAGTGCAGTGGGTGAAGCTGCTGCACAGACACCTCAGCTCCTTAGTCCAGACCTTGGATCAGTCCCGAGACCCTGGATCTGGTCTAGACTCGTCCCGCGTCAGGACTCTGTCAGAACAGGCCCAGACCCAGAGCCAAAGTGCCCTCAAGTCCCTGTCGTCCCTCCCGTCTCTGCCCCAGTTCATCTGCCCCATGGAGCACGCCAGAGTCTCCCTCAGACACCGCAGGGCCCAGCTGACTTCACACGTACTACACAAGCTCAGGTAGAAAATAAAGCTGCACTATGTCACTTTACTGCAGGAGGGTACGCTACATGTGTGTCTATGAAGTTATTGCTTTGCCAGGAATGTTTCACAGTCTGTCTTGTGGCGTCACCTGCTTTTTTCCATGAAGATTTGTAAGTTTAATTCCATTCTGGACCAATCTCCAGAAAGCACTAACATCTAACATCTCCATAGAGACGAGAAGAGCCAGTAAAGTTACATAGTGCATCTTTAACATGTACTGCAAAATATTTTAGGGTCAGTTATGTTTTCAACAATCATGTCTCTGGAAAAGTCAGACTTAAAGGGAAAGAAACTTGATGATTCATGAACATTAGTTTTAGGTTGAATTTGTAGACTTTTAATACAATGTGTTGGTTATATTATTATTATATAACTGCAACAATAAAATGAAACAACTTTTAATAAGATAATACTGTAATATTGTTATATCTGAACATGGTCTTAAAAGCATCACCCAAATAAATGTTGTATTTTATTTTTTGTATTAGTTGGGAATAAATGTTTTAATTAAAGTAACAAGTCGGCTTGTATTTTTCATTATTCACCTTCTCTTACTGTTGATAATTTCTTTTTAATTCATTAACTAGAATAATTAGAGGACTGGTGATCTATTAGACCAGTGTTTCCCAAACTTTTTTCTGGGGACCCATTTTTTAAAAGTCACAAACCTTCGTGACTCGATTTTTTTAATGCTATTTTGCATGTTTTTTGTTGTTGTTTTTTTTAAAGCGTATGAACGCGTGTTGTGTATTATGGATGCGTAGTAATTGCACATGGGTGGGTCAGGATTAAACCAGGTCTAAACCAGGACTAATCTTGGACTTAAGAGAGAGAACCCCGAGCAAAGCAGTGTCTGCAAAGCGCGATCGGGTAATTGCCGCACTTATCACCATGAAGTGCAGAGCTCTCCTCCGGTCACCTCCGAGCCTGTACCAACAGTGAGTCCTGTTTCAGTTCTGGTTTAGTCCTGGTTTAGTCCCGGTTTAGTCCTCCTCTTCAGTCCTGGAATCAGTCGTAGGTTAGTCCTGGGTTAGTCCTGGTTTAGTTTTGATTCAGTCCATGACGTAGGCAGCGCAAAAGTTTGATATAATCTCGGTTTAATGGGCAGGTGCGGGCGGGTGCGGTGTTGTACTGCACGGGCGCGGGTCTCCAAAAATGGACCCATGCAGGACTCTGTGCTGTAGGGCTCCGTTATGGATTAAATGAATCTTCGGTTTGTTACATAAAGATGGAGGAAAATAACAAAAGCACGACAGCAGCAATAAGTTTTAAGAAGGATGCAAAAAGGGTTCTAAATGTGTGAGAAAGGTGTATAAAGTGTGTGGTGAGAGGTTTTACAGCCTTAAAACAGATATAATAACTGTAAAATATAAAGTTGACTACTTCAGGGATTTCACCTATCACAGGTTATTTTTAGAACGTAAATAAACGAGGGACCAGTCTATAGTACCAGTAGTTGGTTTGGCGTTTTTAGAATTAGACCTGGTGTTTTTTGCCCGCATAATGGGTGCAACGTTGGTCTGAAATTTTCATTAAAATGGTCTTAAAAAGATCTTTAAAAAGTCTTAAACAAGATTTGTGGTGTTAAACGTGTAAAAGAAACAAAACACATCTCCAGCTTTGACACAACATTATAACATAGATCAGAAAATGGCATAATATGGGCCCTTTAAAGCCAATACCAAAACCCTCGTGACTATAATGGTTTGTTTGCGAGCGCAGTTTGTGGACGAGTTCCTTTTGACACGTCACCACTTTTGTATTCAAGCCCGCGCTCTGGCCTCCACTGTGTGTTTATACGAGGTGCCATTTTCCTGCAATATTTAATTTACCGCTAAAGTCTTCCCATCGGAGCCTGTTTCTTACCCTCTAGTTTCGCTGGTTATGTAATTAAGACTCAGCACAATGCTCCACTGTCCTCCCCGTATGTACCGCGCATATGAGCCTGCACATGTGTTTGAATGGATTGTGGCAGCCATGTTTTCCCTGTTACTGTAAAGCTGATGTAATGTTTTGGAACGGAGCTACGTCCCCCAATGAAAACAAGAGCAAAGGGAGGGCAGTTTTTGTGGACAAGGACGCGTTCAAGGGATTTCTCAGGAGACTTGCCCTGTCTGTCCTTCACATTAGAACTATTTATCTCAACAGAGCAGAGCAAATAGTCCCCGGAGCAGCCGACTAATTTTAGGGTTGGTTGTAGTAGAATCCAAGCCGCTGGTGTTGCTATTTCTGCCCCATTTGAGAACATCTTATTTACCCAAAGTGGATCAAGGCCAAAAATGTGATGTTGCTTCTAAATAAAGAGACAGAGATGATGCAAATGCACAGTCAACAAGTTTTGAGAAAATATTGTACAGTTATTAAAAGGCCTGTATTATCCTATGTTCTGATCAATGTTGTTTCCTTGTCAAAAAACAAACCTGGAGTTGTGTTTTGTTTCATTCACACGTGTTTAACTCACAAACCCTGCAGATTTAGGTTAGGAGTTCTACCTTGGATGTGTCCCACTGTGTTTTTAAACTTAATTAAGCTTCACTTGAATCATTTGAGTGAGACCCTGTGTTGTCACAATCAGATGTTGTATTTATTTATTTATGTGTAGAGCCATGAATCTGAGTAAGCAAATCATTGAAGCTCTAGTGCAGGCATGTCCAAACTATGGCCCATGGGCCAAATGCGGCCCTTATAGCATCAATTAGAAATGAATGTTTTAAGTAAGTAAGTAAATCTTTATTTATATAGCACCTTTCGCAGATTAAAAAAATCACAAAACAACATAAACAAGAACAGAGGACAACTAAAAGCCTGTCTAAAGAGCAGTGTCTTGAGCTGCTTTTTAAAAGACTCTATAGAGTCTGCCTCACGTAGAGCTAGGGGCAGGGCATTCCATAATTTGGGAGCCACAGCCTGAAAGCACACGTCACCACGAGTTTTAAATCGGGTCTTTGGAACCATCAAGAGACCCTGACCAGAGGACCAGAGGTTGCGGCCTGAGGAGTAGGGGCGCAGTAAGTCACTGATGTACTGGGGCGCCTGTCCATTTAAAACTCTATAAGTTAAAACCAAAATTTTTAAATCAACACAGAACTTAACAGGAAGCCAGTGCAGTGAAGATAAAACTGCAAGTTCTTTGAAAATCTACTTTGATAAGGCAAATATTTAATATTTATTGTGTGGTTTTAAGGATCTTAGCATGAACTAAGACTGATGGCTCATTCTAACGTGTTAAACATGCACATATTTAAATATTCACTGTATCGAGCTCCAGTCTACAGCCCTCGATCAGCCCTCTGCTTCATCTGTATTTAGATATGTGGCCCTTGATGAAAAAAGTTTGGACACTCCTGCTCTAGTGTGTCCTGTGAGGAGCTCGGTCAGTTTCACCTCTGAGCTGCAGAGACACTGGCGGACTTGTCTGTACACATTATAACATGCACTGTGTTTACATTTTTTATTCTTACTATTTTCTTTTTAACGCTATGAACCAGATATTACGTGTTCTTAAGAAAGATTGAATTGAATTTGGATGATTTCGGCCCTAGAATTGCCAGGGTTTTGTTCTCTACTGAACAAAAAGTAAAGATTTGCTGTTAATTCAACCGCTTTGTGACATCACAAGGTGGAGCAGAACATTTTGAGCTTTGGAGATGCAGACAGACTAATAATAAAGAGTTACTCAAACGTGGGAATGAAACAAAACACAACTCCAGGTCTGTTTTTGATGAGGTTATGAGGTTTTGCATAATATAGGGTTTTTGAAGTAAATGCTGCCCATAGACAAAGGTTAATTGTAAAAATCTGTTATCGTATTGAAGTTGCGATTGTGTTGTTATAGAATTTGTAACTGACCCAATACTAAAAGATTAGTAGGGATGTAACAATAACCGAAATATGCTGATATCATATCGTCAAAAGTCTCTCAATAATATCACAGGGCTGTCACAATATATTGAATCACAAGTTTCTTTGCTTAAATGCATGGTTTTACAGTAGCATCAATTTAAAACCATAGGGAATTACATATCCCATGATTCATTTCAGCGCAGACAACATGAAGAAATATGTTTTTTACTTGAATTCTTGGGATTATGACAGAAATAATTTACACCAAAATCTTCTCAAGGTATTTTAAAAGCAAAAAAGTGTCCCATCTGCAATTATATTAGATTTTCCAAAATATCTCAATAAATATCGTACCGTGAGATGCATATCATGACAATATCATTTGGATATCGTTACATCCCTAAAGATTAGTAATCAATAACTTTTTTGTTAACTATAAATTTATATTGTCTTGGCAATAGCATTTCTTTGGACTTTGTGCATTCTTACAGAAAACATGTTGGACTTTGCTGACGTTGAGTTCTATAAGCAACAATCTTCAAAAAATATCTCAATTTAAACTATATTATTTACTACATAACACCTTGAAACATCATTTATAAACTTATCAAAAGCTCAAACTGATCCAAATTGATTTCATCACAAAACCAGCTTTACCTAGAATGATATTAATATATATTAGTTTGAGATAAAAAAAAAAAAAAATCGTCCTAAACATCCTTTTTGTTAATTATTATTGTGAATGTATCAGCACGACTCATTTTGGACACATTTAACATCTTATTAAAAACGAAAAATACTGATAATCTCTCCGTATTTCACAAACTAACAAATTCTGGTGACCCGTGGTGCTGTGCAACATTTTTACACCCTTCGGACCAAAATATCGTCCTTGATGTAGTGTCCTGGATCTGTCTGCCAACACTGCAGTCTTTCCACTCCCTGAGGTTTGTGAAGTCTTGACTGGACTCCAGCTGGTTTCTTCTGGGGTAGTTTGACATTTCGGTGTGGACGTCCTGGGAAGCTTACATCATGAGGGACAGGGGCAGCTCAGTGCAATTTGTAACCACACTGTTCACCGTGGACAAAGGGGAGACTGTGGAGGCAGGAAACTGGTTTGGAGGAACAACCAAAACATCTAATAAAATGTGTGTTACGTCTTCCTCGCATATTTAGAGAAGCTTTATAGAACATGTTTTCGGTTTTATTCGAGATTTGGGTCATTTGCTTTGACAATTATATATGTACAAGTGAAATTGTAAATGCAAACTTTTCTTTCTTGGAATTCTGTCATTGTTTAAAAGGGTTTGGCATTATAAGTACTTTTTATTTCAGCATAAATCCTTTCGGTCATGATCTATGGCGTTGTAATCTATGTTTTGTTTTGTTTTGTTTGCTGCAAAATGACTGAATAAAACAACAACAACTACTACTACTACTAGTACTACTACCTCTACTACTACTACAGTTTAAAGTTGCAATATATAACTTTTTCTGGTAAAATCTTCACCTGTTTGTCCTCTTAGAAATGTTTTTTGCTTTGCCAACAATGTTTCAAAGTAAGAAAATAGGCAAACTTGCAATTATTCAAGTAAAAATGTTGCTCAAAAGACATTTACAAACACGCATGAGTTCTTAATATGA